AGAGAAGGAAAACATCTCTATTGCTTTTAGCTATCAATTAGTTGCCGGCTGTCATGTGCTGTGTTATTTTATATGGGACATTAGAAAGTTATAAGACACAGAACAGTAAAGGAGGATTATATGTAGTGACAATGCATTCGGTTCTGTTTGTTTGCATTTTGTGCCTTGATAGGAGTTTTTAAAGTGAATTTTGCTATGTTTCCTTCTTGTACTCTCCATGTTCTTGCTTTATAGATAATAACCTTTTGTATTTATAATATATGTGTGTGTTTTACTGCATTGCAATTATTTTCTATAGGCTTTCAAATGCACATGGAATTGAATCAATGAATGCAGTCTGCATCTTCCACTGCATTGCAGCACAGAGATATTAAAGGTTCCTGAATGACTGGTATGACATTGCCATGTTTGCTTGTAGTAGCAGAATGTGAACACTGCTGGGAACCACTTACATGTGATTGCAGCCATAGGGCGTGTGTAACTGTGTGTTGCTATCCAAAGCAGGATTTTGAATGCAGGGCAGCTTACATGCATGCGCTTGAACCCAGAGGGCTGTGTTTGACCTGCTTTGCCTGCAATGCAAATACATCTCCAATAGGACATGCTGCATTCAGAGAAATGCAATGCAAATCAGCAAATTGTCATCCATACTACACCATTAAGGTAAATGGGAATCTACTGATGTGCGTTTGATGTGCGTTTGATGTGCGTTTCAAACCCACAAAAATGCAGGTAAACAACATACATATACACAAGCTCCTAATCTGATTGGTTTTACAGTCTTCATTTTTCTTAGAAAGTAGCCACAGCCTCAGTTAAAAAGCACGTCCCCTGCCAGGATGATGTAGAGAGGGGCCCTTACTCTTTGTAGAACAGTGGTCCCTGTACAGTGACAGGGTCTGACTTGTCCGCTGCTGAGTCAGAGCTCTACAGTCAGCAGGGAGAATGTACTTCACTGAGTACAGAGCTATAGGTTTGACTCATCAGGCGTGTCAGAGCTCTGCATAGAGGCCACTGCTTCCAGTTAGAATGCAAGGGTCATTATCTGCAGTATGCTGGCAGAGGACTGGCTTTTCTACTCGGGCTGTAGATGCTTTCCAAAGAAAACAAATTGTAAGACTTCCCACACCATTTGTTTTAAGCACTTGGAATGTATTTAGCTGATTTTAACTGAAAATTCAATTCGGTTAAAAAGAAGAAAAAAAATCAGGAAAAAGGAAGTGCTCTGCTCAAACTTTTCTATAATCTTAATACATTTTATTAGTGTTAAGCGAGTCCTCCTGGACTGAGATTTGATACAAATTGCAATGTGGGTTCAGTTACACCAGCTCAGCAGCAAAGTGTCCCTCCAAATGATCATGTTAGAGTATAGAAGCTAACGAATGACCATTACCCAGACAAACGTTCTGAATTTTCTGTCGTCTTCATTCATCAGAACTCCCTTGTGTGTGTGTCAAGAATATAAATGTGAGTGATCCCAGGTGTTAAACCTTAGAAAGAGAAAGGGTTTTAAAATTCTCAGTGGTCTTGGGATTAGTCAGGAAGCCGTCTCTCAAGAAATAGTCATCTAGTTGCTAAGCATCCAATGCTCAGGTTAAATGGGCTGCAAATGGGATTTATCAGCACAATTGTTGCTCCCGTGTAGAAAATGACAAGTCACAAGAACAGAGTGACAATAGACCCTGATTTTGGATGTTGGAGCTTTTCATAAAATCACAGGTATGTTCTCTCCTTTGGCCTAGCTTCACTATGACTATTGTATAACATTGTTAAGAATTTCAGACATGCAAGGTGTGCCAGGCTGGTGTGAACTGTCGTTTTAATTTGCAACTTAGCGCCAAAGAGATAAAAGCAAGCAGTGTCGAAGAAAAATAATATTTTCTTTTCTCTTGCTTTAAAAAATGCCTCTTAGCCTTTAGGGGTAGAAGGATCTGTCCAACCAAAACTGAGAGATTGATTTGCTCACCAGTTTATTTCATCTGTTTGAGACCCAAGCATTGAGGTGTCTGCACCTAACCTATGCTACCCCTGCAGCTAGATTTGCTCACCAGTCTCTTCCATTTGTTGGAGACCCAAGCATTGAGGTGTCTGCACCTAACCTATGCTACCCCTGCAGGTAGATTTGCTCACCAGTTTCTTCCATCTGTTGGAGACTTCAGTATTGAAATGTCTGCACCTATCCTATGCTACCCCTGCAGGTAGATTTGCTCACCAGTTTCTTCCATCTGTTGGAGACCCAAGCATTGAGGTGTCTGCACCTAACCTATGCTACCCCTGCAGCTAGATTTGCTCACCAGTTTCTTCCATCTGTTGGAGACTTCAGTATTGAGGTGTCTGCACCTAACCTATGTTATTCCCAGCAGGTAGATATAGTGACCAATTTCTTCTATTTGGTGGAGACCCAAGTATTGAGGTCTTTGCAACTAACCTGTGTTCTCCCTGCAGATAGATCTGATCACCGGTTTTCTTCCATCTGTTGGAGAATGTAGCATTGAGGTATCTGCACCTAAACTATGTTCTCCACTTCTATGGTCATTACAAGGGAGTTTACTCCCTATCCCAAATCAGGTGAATCTGGCTTCTCATCTATCATTCACTAGCAAGTGCTCTGGAATGACTTATTACAAAACCTACAGAACAGAAGCAGAAGTAGGAGATGTAGAGCTGTAAATGTAAGTGGAGAGATATTTCCATTGAAATCTCTGACAACTATGAGGACAGTAGAAAATGTAGCTTGGACTATTTGGTTTAAGTAGAAGTGTACAGAACTCTTAGTACGTGTGGCTCACATTAAAGTAGATGAGGACCCTAACTGAATGACATTTACATTTACTTGTTGTTTATTCCTGTGTGATGTGTCTTATAACAGCCACTGGTGGAGGCAAGGGCCTTCATGTTAGGACCACCAGGTGATTTTTAACGAAATCTGGAGATTTAAAGATATTAAAAATTATTTTTTTAATTAAATGAATATATTAAAGCTTATATGAGATTTTAGTAAGTTAGTTACATTAATTCTACATCGCACTTGTGATTCTGCCGCTTATGAGGACTCACCAGTGCCAGTATCGCTATGGAGGACACAGCAGGAAGGTAAAATACTTACCTGCTTGCAAGGGCTTGCTCCTTTGCCAGCAACCTATGTGGTGAAACCTTTTTGGCAGAGACTGAGGGATACCTCGTGACCAAAACCAGTAAGGGAGAGAGACACTGACATAGCACGTGAGTGTTTTTCATGCATTATTCAGTTGCACTATCGATGGCAACTTCTTGACAGCAACAAGATTCCACATGTGACATTAACCTCAATCAGCAGTAGGGTTGTACAAATACATGTGTTTATATTTGTGTTGGTGGCAGGGGGGATTTACAATGTTTTTTAAACAGCAACCTTTAGTTTGTATAATTTTTAATGCTATTTTGACAACAGTGTATGAGAATATCCCACAACCAAAATATTTATATAAATTATATTTTTTTCCTCTTTTATCAGGTTTTCCTCAGGATTCTTTCTTCCAGAATTCAACAGATCAAAATGGCCACTATACCAATAGATATCACATTTTACATGGTCTTGGTAGTCCTTGGAATTCTGGGCAACTCATTGGTGCTTCTGACAGTGATAAGCAATGCTATAGAGAACAAGACCATGCCAGCTTCTGATATGATACTTATGAACCTCGCCGTCACTCACCTTTTATTATCTGTCTTTCGGAATGTCCTGGTTGTTACATTTCAGATGGAAATAGATCTTCTCTTTTCTACCTCTTGGTGTCGGGTCTTCATGTTCATTTGGACCCTCTTGAGGTCCATGAGTGTTTGGGGGACGTTGTCCATGAGTGTCTTTCATTATATCAGCATCAGGAACCATTATTTGAAGCTGAGAGTAAACTCTTTCCTCACCACCATTAAAATTCTAGCTGCACTTTGGGCATTTAATAGTTTGTATTATATACCAGCTTTGATATATACAACCCGTGGAGAGTCTAACGCTACCTTTTCAGTGCAGCTGGTAAGCACCAGTACCAGACCTGTGTTGGGCTGTGTATGGAACTTCCCAAGCCTTAATGCAAACCTTCTTTTTGTCACTACATCATTGGTGATTCATGAAATCATACCTGTCATTCTTATGGTAGCCACCAACCTAATTACTCTGTACACACTGCAGCAACATGCAAGGGCCATAGCTGCCCAGAAAACCATTAACCGTGTGGCTGCTGAGAAGAAAGCGGCTTTGGTGATCACCACATTGGTTCTTCTATTTGTCATTTGTTGGGGAACCAACGTGGTGGCCGTTAACTTCTACAACTTTACCAAAGGGGTGTCTGCTCCCGCCTTTCTGCTGCCCATGGCGAACTTTGGTGCCTATATTTTCATGGGCTTCAGCCCTCTGGTGTTGTTGATTGGACACAGTAAGCTGCGCAGAAAGCTGATTAGCCTGATATGTAAACAGTTTAAACATCAAGTTAATCCAGTGGGCTATTCACTTAGGTTTCATACGAATGTGACTACTGTCAAGTGCTAGGTAGACTTTAAACAGACTAGCCCTTATCGTAAGTGGATTCATGGACAAAGTCATTATTATGACCCAACAATGACTAACACAAAGTAATTTATATTTGATGAATTATTTATATGTAATAAATTGTTTCTTGAGGCATGTTGTGTGCAGAATATTTCAGGTTTATTTTTAATTAAAAATAAAATGGACTTAATGGATGAATCACATATACCTTCTGTAAGAAATACTTTGCTTCAAATGTAGGAAAGTAAAAATGTAAGTGAAACCTTTAATGTGTATATATAGAGGTGCAAGTTTTCATAAACACGTCATTCCCTTCTTCAGGCATGCTTGGAAGCCATCCCCGGAAGAGGGCAACTAAGTGTTTTTAAAAGCTTACACCTGAAAATATATTGTTAACCACATAAAATGTATCGCCTACATTTGCCTTTGACAGGTATTTATTTTTGTCTGTGTTCCCATTTGGGAGGATTTCCCCTCACTTCCTGTCCAGGTGATGGTGGATACCAAGATGAGAGGTGTCTCCTTGGGAAACAGCAAAACATTTGTCAGGGTTTTTCCATTTCTATCTTCACTCCCCTTGAGAAATGCTCCCTCAGTTTCTGTCCTCTTGGGAGGGGACCCTGGCACAGGAAGCGAAGGGAAATCTACCCAGTGTTTTGCATGGAAACTTCAAATAGTTTATTTTACAGTAACTACTGTATATGTAAATATAGCATGATGTATACCATTATGGTTACGTAGCAATGGTACTACCACTCACAGAACATTTGGAGACGAGTAATTCCAGCCCTGTAAAATATGGTATTATATTTTAAAATGTTGTTGTAAAAGAAAACTTATGTCAATACAGTTACATCAATACTATTTAGCAATATCAGCCCTAGCATAGTCATGTGATATGCTGTCACTTGAGAGAACTAGGGGGTTTTGAATACTCTTTTCGTGTTTGTACCTCACCTGGACCTCAGGGTACTCATGTTTTCTTCTTTGGTCACATATACACATGAACACATATAACTATATCTATAGGGGCTACAGGTATAATTGGTGGGCAGAATAAACTGTAAGAAAATACCTAATGTGATCATTTCTTTTTACAATTGGACATGACTGTGATGGATGTGTTGATAGGATGGGCTTAGTAGCAGGATAGTTACATAGTTAGGTTGAAAAAAGTCCATCGAATTCAATCTGTAGAGATAAGAGGATTAGGGTGATAGCATTCAAAGGGCAGTCCTGGATGTCATTCAGGAGTAGAATTCTCATGTTTCATCCTAATATATTGTGTTTTCTTCCATTCATGTGTGGTCTGCTAGCCTGTAGTTACGCAGTGATATGTAGAAATAAATTATATATTTTCCCCCAGTCAGGAAATGCAGCAGGCTCTATCTGACTTGCAGCAGTTTCTAATGCACATTGTGAGAAAATTACATTGTGCAGTGGAATCAGAGTAAGCTATTTCAGTACAGGAGGAGGAGGCAAGGGGGGTCCAGGGGTGTCCCTAGCTTTTTCGCCAGGGGTATCTTTTCCTGTCCAGCTCCAGCTCTGGCCAGTGTCCCATCACTGGTTGCTAGGAGCTTGGCAGGGCACTTGCCAGAGTGCCCCAGGTTGCTAAGACCTGGGAAATATGTATGACCCTTACTCATCTCCACGCCCAACTCTTAGCAACCTGGGATGCTCTGGCCGGAAAGGGAGCAGCAGGCACACTGCAAACATTGGGCAGCAGATCGGCCATGCCGCTTTGCCTGCTGCCCCCCATGTGCCGCACTCCCACATAGGGACAGCCCTGGGAGGGGGGCCTATACAACTGTGCAGAGGCAGAGGGTAAGGCTGGAATTGAGCTTTAACATCCGACCTGTTGGTTATGTGTTTAGATGAAGCCCTGAGGTCTTGAGGAATGCTGAAGTTTTAGTTTGCTTGGAACATTACATCAGAATGCAGCATTGTGCAGGAAACATATAGATTAAAAAACAGCTTCCTGTGTATCATAGATAAGCATGTACATAGAGAGTAAAATTGCACTTCACTGTCATCTACAGCTCAAAAGATACAGCAGTATATGCTGTTGCATTTCCAACACAACCAGCATTCACTATGTATTGTTTCCTGGAGCTACTGTTGAATAAACAGAATAAGTGCACCCTAGCTGCTTATTTTGCTTAGCTGCTGGTGACTTAAATAATCACTAAAATCGGACCATTGATTCTTACAGATATTTTATTATGTGAATATAAGTTCAGAAAAGTTACTCACAGAAAAAAAAGAAAATACGTCTATTCATTTGCCTTTTCACTTTGACTATTTGTAATATAAGTGCTGAAATATCCACTGCTGTTCATTTCCTTCTTATAGAGCAGAATGTAACATTTTGGGAAGTAAACAGTACACAGAACCCCTAGGCAGCTGCTCAGAATAAAAATCATCTGAATGATAGATTTGTAGGCAACGTTTGTGCTGACAAAAGTGGGTATAAAAATGATCCAGTCAAGAATCAAAGTCAGCATGGCTATGGTGATATCTCTTGCCATATAATACTGGTGGACGGGTTTTTCAGCCATGAAAGAACATAGGAAGGATAACAAGACCAGAAGCCCATTGTATGCAAACATCAAACCAAACTGGAGCAGGGGTTCATATTTACAACTAAGAAAAATGGTCAGGGAACTCACATCAAGGGATGCCACCTTCACGGAGAAGGGCTGGGAGGACTTCACATACATGGCACACAAGAAGAACTGACCCAAGAACGCACATACCAGGATTATCCATCTTCCTGGATATAGTAACCAATACAGACAGGATCCAATGGAAAAGGAACTAAACTGAAGCTGCATGGATTTGACCAGTATGGGCCCTAGAAACATAGTAAAGCTCAAGGACAGCACAGGCTGCTGTAGAAGACATATCATGTCAGAAGGCTCTCCGATATAAAAGAAAATGGAGGAACACATGCATGCTATACCCAGCAGGGTCAAGAAGCTCTCAATTTCACCAGAAGCAACAAGCAGAGGAGTGTGGCAATGCTGAAATAAGATCACAGCCACTGTGCCAATGATGACCATGATTAGTCCCATGAATATAAGAAGGGCGATAACATAGTAGTTCTTCCATGTTAGAAAAATGAAGGTTGGATCTTGGCAGGCTTTGCTTCCTGACCTGGACCACTGGCCAGAAGGACACGGGGTGCATTCTGTCAGGAATTGAACAAGTAAATGTAGTTACACATCAGAAAAAAAACAGAGCATTTTCAATTAAACAGTTCCTATCTATACAATTTGAGACCCCTCTGGATAGTAGCAGGGGCCTTCTCCTAACAGTCTGGTAAGCAGCAGTGGGCCTCCCTCCTGTTGTTGATTACTTTTCTCACTTTGACCATTCAGAAAAATGAATCTGCATGGGTCTGCATGGTTTATCGCAACATCAGATTTGAACCACAGGTAGAGCTGTACTTGAAAGACCATAATTAGAGCCACTTTTGTGATTCATACACCCCTGCCAGAACAGCCAGAAGTGAGGAATACAATGTAGTCGCCTCCCTGCTAACTACACAATAAATGGTGCAGCAATACACTGATAAGCTATCACCTCTTCTTACTCTACTCTCTCCTCCTGTCAGTATGTTCCATATGAACCTGCTTGACTCCTGGAGTGCTGCTGTGCAGGGGATGATATCAAGACATATTCAGGTATTCATTCTACGTTGTGAATGCATATTTGTTTAAACTTCTCTTTTTTCTGTAAGCCCATACAGGGCAGCCATCAGGGGGGTATGGTCGATACTCATGTAAGGGGCCCGGGCAGCCTGGGGGGGCCCGCCCGGGTCCCTTATATCAGTGCTCCCCAACCTTTTTATCGCCGCGGACCAGTCAACGTTTGATAATTTTGTTGGCGTTCAAGTGGCGAAGCAGTTTTGAAGGTTTCATTGTCTCATTAGAGAGCTGGTCGCCGCAAACTATGCAGAGCGGTTTTGGTGTATTGGAATCACCTGTCCCGATAAATCCATATTTCAAGTAGGACTCATGGTATTGTCTGTTAAAAGTTACATGTTTCTTTGATGTTGAAGGCCCTTCTTCTGTCTCTTCACTGGGCCTTTTCTTTTTCCCAAGGAAACTTTCTAACGACGTCTGTTTCGTAATAATTTTTGCTAATTTGTGGGTTAAATTTGAGCAAACACAATATACACGTACACCAAGCACTGTTAAACATGAGAAAGTACCGGTGAACAGAGAGAAGAGCGATACACACCTTCTCTTTACCAAAGCTACAACGCCACTGCTGCTTGCAACCGCTCAGCTCCAGACGTCACCTAAAACCGCCCCGATATCACGATATTTTGCGCATGCGCGGTATTGGTGCGGCTTTAGGTGACGTCTCTCAGCTCCCGGTTAACCTCTCGTCCTGGAAAGTCGGACAAACCCGAGAGAAATACACCACAGTAAATAAAATGGAAATAATTTAATGTTCCTTGGGCGGCCCGGTACCATTTGATCCACGGACTGGTACCGGTCCCGCGGCACGGGACTTGGGGACCACTGCCTTATATGACTATCGGCCGACGGTGAAGGGCGAGGAGGCCTGGCCCTAGCAGCACAGGGCCCCAGCATTGCAGCTCCAGCGGCTTTGAGACAAGCTAGGGCCCCATCAGCCGATGCTGCTCATCTGATATCGGACTGGCCGGAAGTGACGTCACTTCTGGCCGGTCCGGCGGCAGACGAGGCCATGTGTGCAGGTAAGAGGAGCTAGGAAGGAAAGGAGGGAGGGGAGGGATGCAGCCCTGACCAGCCCACCAGAAACCCCTTCAGAGCCCACCATAGACAGTTTCAGAAGGGCTGTGCAGCATCTATGGTGGGCTCTGCAGGGTCACTCTCAGGTGGGTCCTGTGTCCAGCACGTCACTAAGCCCTGCGCCCAGCACATTACTAAGCCCTGTTTCCAGCGCGTCACTAAGCCCTGCGTCCAGCACGTCACTAAGCCCTGCGTCCAGCGCGTCACTAAGCCCTGCGTCCAGCGCGTCACTAAGCCCTGCGTCCAGCGCGTCACTAAGCCCTGCGTCCAGCGCGTCACTAAGCCCTGCGTCCAGCGGCGTAGGGGGGGGGCCCGGCCTAAAGCCGTGTAAGGGACCCCAAAATTTCTGATGGCTGCCCTGAGTCCATATCTTTAAATACTGGGTCATGTAAAATAATGTTTCCCATATCCTAAATATACACTGTCACCTTGCCCATTCAGGGGGTAGATGGCCACTAGCGTTATCGGAGGAGGTCACATGCCTGTTACCAGAAGTACCGGGTATTTTGCAGTGGTGGCTACAGAGGAAGGAGTGCTGGGGGGAATGCTGGAGACGTGCAAGGATCCTCTCCTGATCAGCCCGTGTGAAAAGTGCCTAAAGCAGCCAGAGGTAAGCTATATATAGGCACTGTGTCCCCATCGGGCAGATTCATCCCTCTACTTGTACTGCTGACCACTGTCACCGAGAAAGAATGTGAGGGGAAATCCAACATTTTAGAGTTGTCCCCAGAACAAAATTCCCCACACTTTGGGATATGTCCACTAACGTCCTGTTGCATCTCTGGGACAGGATGTAAAGACAAATTTCCCCAATAGTACGCAGACAGCAAACAAATATTATCTGGCAGTGGTTTTAACCTTTCCCTACTTTATCCAAACCTAATAAAAACGGTTGGCTATACATGCAGTTTAATGTTCTAGAATGGTAAACATTAAAGTAATAAAAAAGGACCGGATAGAGTGACAACCTGTGGAGTTTACTAAGGTTCCCTCAGGACAAGTAAGACATTCAAAGCAACAGGATTTGAAATCTTTGATCAACTTGACCTGGCCCTCTGAGCATTGTCGGGAACATGTAGATTCCGGGACCTGCAAAAACAAAAACACGGCCAACATTTATCCTGGTAACAAATATATTGTATTATTATTATTATCATCATCAGCATTATTAATATTTATATTATTTTGTGTTGTAAATTCATTATAATGTCTCATGATCGTCTAAAAGTGTGTTGAGTATCAAACCATGGAGGGGATTGGGACCCCTTATAGTGGAAAGATATGCAGACACAGAAACACAAGTGCAGGGATCTCACTAACAATGTCACTTTAGGTGGTGGTGTGTCTTCACATTATGTGTGGTGTTAAGGGTTCTTTTAGGAAGTTGTTAAAGGGCATTTCCAAGCATTACCTAAATGTATCCCCACGTCTCCCTTCCTTCTCTAGATCATTTCCCAGCATTATTTTTTTTTTTTTTTTATTTACTTTGTTCCTGTAGTAAGAAACAGGCTTGTAAAATTCTTGCAGGGGCTTGCTTGGAGCTCAGTTCCCTTTGATGTAGAAATGCCTCCAGAACTATATCTCTAGGGCCCATTCTCTACGCACATTGTGCGTGTGTATGCTTGGGAGTCAATTCAGCAGCACTGCTTGGCCAGGCAAGAAATCAATGAGGGGAATTTAGCAAACCTGGAGCAGACAAAATCTGGAGCAGCTGAGCAGCTGGAGCAGCTGTGCATGCCAACCAATCAGTTTCTGGCTTTCATTTTCAAAGCTTAACTGAATAGATTGAGGAGAGAACCTGATTGGTTACTACAGGCAACTGCTCCACTATTGATAAATTCCCCTCAGTGTATGCAAGTAAAGAAGGATGGGGGTTAGGTGGAGTTCTGCGGTCCAGTGATCAAGGCTGACAACACTGGTTGGGATTCGAGTGCAGCAAAAGCACTGTGTTGTCAGTGCAAACAGGAAGTTAAGAGCATTTGGTAGATCAACATGTATCTGCAGAGATACACACTACCAGCTGAGTCAGATCTGGAGCTCTCCAATCAAGAGGGAGCATGAGCTTTTCTGATGGGAGAGCTCCAGATCTGACTCAGCAGTGGGCATGTTGGACCTCTTTAAAGAGACCACTGGCTTCCCATAGAGATGCTTCTCTGCAAGGGGCAGTCTACTTTCTAAGAAATCAAACTGTAGCCTTTGCAAACCATTTGTTTTGAAGCACTTGAAATGTATTTAGCTGATTTAAAGTAGTATTAAACGCAGTGGCGTAACAATCACCATAGCGACCCAGGGGGCCCGGGGCACAGTGGGGCCCGGCCAGAAGCCGCGCAGACCGCATGGGTCGCTATGGGATCCTCTGCTGGTGGCTTTCACTGGCAGCTGAAGACGAACACGCCGCAGTTCAGATCACTGACAATGAGTCAATGAGAGCCTGCAGCGGGGCCCATGATCGGCAGCAGGGGACGGGGCGGGGCCCGGTGATGAAGAAGGAGGCGGGCCTGGTGACGGAGGAGGAGGTGGGGCTCATCAGCGACCGTGGAGGAAGAGGTGGCAGACAGGTAAGGAGTGCGACCAGCCCACCTGAGGGTGACCCTGCAGAGCCCACCATAGAGAGTCTGTAGTGGGCTCTGCAAGTTCACCCTCAGGTGGGATCTCGAGTGGGCTCTGCAAGGGGTATAACTAGAAATCACGGGGCCCCATACAAAATTTTGCTATGGGGCCCTGTGATTTCTAGTTATGCCCCTGATTAAACGCTCATACTTTGTTTCCAGCAATGAATCCAGACCAAGCAAATATACTATATATTGCCCAGCAAAGTATTTCTCTATATATTCCCTCTTAGAGTCATCATGTTTCGAAACAGCTTCAACTTTCTCAGCTCAGCTTCCCTAAACTTCCTGTCCAGTACAAGATCTCAAGGGCCATGATCGGCTCCAGCAGCCTTTCTATCTACTAGCTTGGAGAAGGGAGAATGGAGGAGTGTGGAGCAGGAGGAGGGAAGTGTCTTGCCTTGCTGTGCCTTGTGTGTTTGTGGAGATGCGCAGCTTACTAGCACAGGGTGGCTCCATAGGACCCTGCAAGGAAAAGGAGCCACCATAAAACAAGATAACAGGGACAGTGGTCAGGGGACCAGCTAATTCTGCAGTAAACTAAATCTTATAAACATCAAGGAGCAGCATCCATTGTATGTGATTTCATCAACATTAATATAGCTTAAAACCCTTTGACTTTAATATCACTTTAAGTGAAAGTTCCGTTGGGCTTTAATGTGGAGGATAAAACACTGGCAAGCTACCATTCACACCTTGTGCCTGGCACTGAAGACAATGTGAACCTTGTCTGGTGTACCAGTGGCAGTGTAAGCTAGACAAAAGGTCAACCATATGAACAGTCAGCAGTTGTCTAAGCAGAGCTTCCTCTTTATGGCCTCCTGTTCATGCACACTCAAGTGTGAAAGCTAATAAAACAAAGATAATCCCAAGAACCACATTCATCCAGTTAACATCCTCTGAAAGCACCTTTTATATTGTAAATATTTAGTCACGATTGCAGTAATGCAGCAAAGCCTTCAATGTCCGTTAGGGGATTTTATTTTTTGCATTAATATTTCAATAAGCAGAATAAACATAGCGATATGCGAGTGCAGCGGGATGGCGGTGTGTTGGTGCGGCTGTCATTTTCCGCCTTGTTATGTTTATTTTAGTTGTCCTATTTTGCATTATTGATTCTCTCTGGCGGTGATAGCATGCTGTACTACACTCACTTTACCTTGACACGCTGCAGCTTATTGACTTCAAGCTGTCCTGTTTTGCAGAGAGGAAAAAAGGCAGCGGCAGCAATGAATTTTCTTTTGGAACGTTACAGGGTCAGTGTACCAAAAAGTGATATTTCAAAAAGTGATAGGTGGAATGTGGAAAATTGAAGCTCGGCTTTAACCAAAATGTATTTTTTTTTAATTTTTGGTGATAGCAGTAAAGGGGTAAAACCTCTGTTATTTGTTTTTATTGCTGTCTTTGTCCCTGTTGGGGGCATTTAATCTCACTTCCTGTTCCTGTGGCCACACAGAAAGCAAGAAGAGCTTACCAAAAGGGATGGAGACAGCAATATAACCCTAAAAAATTTTCTCAGCCTTCCCCACTCTACTCTAGGTTTCATTACTCTCTTTGCCCTTGTCGGAGAGATATTGCTCACCTCTTGTCTCAGTGACCTTCCCATTCCCCCAATCTTCCCAGTCTCTACCAAGAATGTAAACACCAGTATTAGGTTGACTAACCTTTAAGGAGAGACTGTCACTTTTCCCATTCAGGATAAAGTGTCAGTGCCTCCTGATAGTTTGTCCCTCCCCTCCAGAAATTTTACTAACTGATCTGCGCTCCCATTCAGCCTCCTCAGGAGACCTCCCTGGCTAAGCTCCAGTATCAGATGACATCAGAGCTTACGCGGGTGGATGATGTCCCTCCCTCCCAAGTGATAGTATTTTGCCCTGGCAAGGGGCCACTCAGACCTGAGCACTGTCGCATAGGGGAGGTCACATTCGCCCCCATGTTAGAGGGCTGGAGTTGCCCACCCATGCCCTAGAGGGTGTCACAGAGCCAACATTCCCCAATGTCACTTTTCTAACAATATCAATATATTTACTATAACCAAATAAGACTTGTTAAAAGCTCTGATAGAGGTCACAAGGCATGGCAATTTTAAAGTCTCTGGCCCACCCCTGCTCTGTTTTTATTGCTATATTGTCCCCAGGTGGGAGATGTATCCCTATTTTCTATTTTTTATTAGGTGTGTGGACATAGGAAATAAATTTAGGGTGTATGAGGTTTAAAACCTCTATCAAGAATGTATTGCTCGAGAAGGAATGGGTTGGAAGCACTGGATCCAAAGTGGGTAATATAGAAAGTGAAGCGCATTGAAGACCTGTCCTCTTGCACAAACAGGCAGGGCTGGATTTACTCTCTCTGCTGCCCCAATGCTAGGTTCCTCAATGCGCCCCCCTGTATGCAGGCTGCATAAAAGTGATCTCGCTGGCATTGCCGAGATCACTTGTACAAAACAAGTGGCGGCTACCCAGCTGAACATTTAGCCCTACTTGCCCCCAAATGTAAAAAAACAACTACCCGCCCAGCCCCCGGAACTCCATGTCATCGGGCATCGGGAGATAGGAATTCCACACCCCTGCTGCCCCTCTACTGCCTGCTGCCCCAAGGCCGATCCTCGGTTGGCCTTGTGGGAAATCCGGCCCTGCAAACAGCCTCCGGGAGGTGCTTCGGACAAAATGCTTGAGAATTAGGAGAAATAAACTTCCAGATTAACAGCTGAGAGTTCAAATATTTTTGAACCCAATCTAACTGTATCTGAAACAAGCCAACACACTTGAGGAATTCTAAGGGACCTCCTTCATCAGGGCTCAGAATACTAGTGAAGCCCCCTAACTAAGGCTGTAAACATCACCATTGGAAAGAGGTAAGTAGGCACCTGGGGTTAGGTTAGTTTAGAAAGGGTTAGGGTGCTTGGGAGGGGACTGGGGAGTGTTTACTGTATAGTGAGCTGTACTATAACGCTTCCGTGTCTACCTACAGCTAAAGACATTTTTTTTGCTGGGGATGAACTTTTTAGGGCAGCTTTACATGAACTTTTAATCAATAGCCGAGCCCCAGCTGCCCTTTTTACTGAACCCTTTGAACTCATAATGCACAGCAGCGGTAGACCTTTTTATTCCACAATGCAATAAAAGGAATCTGCATAAGACATGTTACTATTCTATAGTCAGATGATTGTTATACCTGCTTACTAGATGGACAGCTGACAGACATGTCCCCAGGTGGTCAGATAATCTGTGCCTGCAAACTGCGCGACCTATGGCCAGCTTATAACAAGAGCTGCAATATTCCTGACCAGTTCAATTTATCATTCATAGAATAATAAGGGTTCTCAAAGGCAGATTTGTTCTACTTCACTGGTTATTCAATGCAGCTTTAGTGGAAATAATCTCTGGTTAAAACACATCTATCTATGGTCGAAAACTAAAAATAAATCTCTATTTCTATATTGAATTTCCAAGTTCTTTCCAACATTTACTAACCACGTTT